ATGCGTGTGATGGTGTGTTTCGCTCAAGGCACACTCAACCGGCTTTGGTTTATTATCCAATTATTATTCAATTATCTTATGATTATCGATTAAAAAGGCATTTTATAGACTTAAGCTCCAAAGTGGGCGTGGTTGGTATTTCATTTATACGGAAATTTTTATTATATGTCTGTTGTAGTTTACGGCAAAGAGCAATACAATACAAAAACAACAATATAGAGCAGTTGCTCTATACCCATCTGCCTTGACTGATTGAGCCAAATTTCAATACCCATCTTCGTGCAGGGACTGGCAATATTTTCGTGATATCTGTACCTGATGGGTTCATTTTTGTGAGTGTGTTCATCGTCGATATTACACAAATGAATGGACGTACAGACGAACAGATAGACATAGGGACAGACGGACAGACGAAGCGATTTACATGCTTAGATGGATTTTTAATCTTGCACTGGTCAAAAATAAATGCACTTTATGGGATTTCTAAAGTTTCTTTCTGAGTGTTGCAAACATTTTGACAAAAAGATATCACTCACACATATTTCGGTGGTGGATATAGAAAGCAAAACCTCTCAACATATTGCTTGACGCAAACGAATACTGTCTTCGAAATCAAAATTTTCAAAATAGATGATTAGTAAATTTTGAGGTTATGTACGATTTCTGTAGTAGATGAATGAGGAGTGGAGGCTATTAGAAATACTTGGCTATGAAAACAAGTGTTTTTTTTGGGGTTAATATTTCCCCTACACAATTTTAAGCACAAGTGCTTTGCAGGAAACTTTTCGAAGCAACTGATTTATCAACGTTAAATCTGAGCTTTATGGTTATGAACTATGTTGTATTGAATTAATTATGCATCTGATGGATTTAATCGGCATAAGCAGTGGACCTAGTTCACTAGCGAATACACGCTAGTGCCTGGATTTTTTTTGTTTTTTGGAAAGACAGACAGACAAGCTTGGGTGGATTTACGTCAACGCCCACGGGGTGTTCTGCGCTATGTGTGCATCGGCACAAACTTAGTATACACTTGCATCACAAGTAGTGTAAGGCATAAAAAGAAAACAATCAACTGTCGTAAACGATATAATATATGATAAATGCTTCCACTTAAGCTAATAAAGTTACACTAGATCGACCATTTGCAAGCTGAACAATAATTCAAGAAAAAAAGTAAATATTCGTTTTAAGTCGAATATAATTTGAATTTTGCTTTTCATTATCTAGCGTAAAGAGAAAAAAGTGTGGAGTATGTGTGTGTGTGGAGTGTGAATTTAGAATATAATCGTGCCTTAGTGCATAATATTGTATGAAAGCATATATGCGCAATCACATGCATCCTATACATGTATGTACGTATGCAAGCAGTTCATGTATCCTATACAAGCATATATGTACGCATGTATGCAGTTCTTGTTTAGGTAAATACAAAACTTTGCCGTTTGGTTTCACCGTAGATGCTGAAATTTGATTTAGCTGCGGTCGTGTTAAACATTTTAACGCTTACACACGTTTCGCGATAGTTACATATGTACATACTTATGATGTGATGTCTTTTTTTTTTTTTGTTTCTTTATCTACTACAATATGATTCTTATGGCTTTAAACCTGACCAATGCATTGTCTCGCTTTTAAACGTCTCTTTATTATTCAACCGTTAAGTTCATATTATGCTAAAACGCGTGCATGTACAACTTTTCAAATAAATATAAAATATTGAATAAAATCACATGAGTAAAAAAAAAAAACGAAGAAACACAAAAGGAAATATTTAAGAAAATAAAATAAAACTGAAATTGAAAATAATAGGAAAGTTGTTAAATAGACAAGTTTAACACTCCGCCGCCCTCACATCATCACATCATTTATGTGCAAATATTTCAAAATAAGAAAAAAAAAAAAAAAATAAATAACTAAAGCTTAAGCTAATCTTTGAAATCTTCCGTTATTGCTCAGCCATAAACATTGGCAGCTTACTCTGCTATGCTATGCTATGCGTTGTGCTGAATCGACAAAAAAAATAATTTCTAATAATTTATTTTCTTTATGTCTCAAATAACTGGTATTATTATGCCTACCGATGAGTACATATATATATATATATATATATATATATCCAAAATCAAATACGTATGTTTTTGCAGACATAACAAAAAAAAAAAAAAACGAAAAAAAAATAGTAAAAGCCTCGCAATTTGTATTGTTTTGTACAAATACTTCTCTTGTCTTTTCTGCTTACGTTGGTGGTCCTTGATCTTGTGCTTTGACTTTAAAAAAAAAAAAAAACAACAACAACAAAAACAAATAAAGAAAAACAGACAGAAATTGATCTCGTAATATACTTTACAAAGTATAAACAAATCATACAAACCAAAAAAAAAAAAAAAAAAAAAACAATAAACTCTTTCAAGTTTATAAGCACATGCTATTTATTTTGGACAAAGTCGACCTTTTCTTTTCTTCATATTCGCGCCTTTTTTTCTTTTTGGTTTTTTTTGGGCGAAATTGATGTTATTTTGTAAAAAATATGAAATCATTCTCTTGCTTCCGGAACTTAAAGTAAATACCTTTCAACTGATGATCACTTATTAACATCTATGCTGAAACTAATTTTATATCTCTTAGCTTGAAAGTGATTCGAATACAATTCTAAGAGTTTTGGGCTTTCAATCTAATTGCAGAGCTTTATTAAGACCGTGATAGTTAGAGTCAAAAGTTCTGCATCAAAAACATGTAATCTTAGCAATCAATTTTAGTTTTCCTGATTGTAAGGACTCGTACGGGTAATTAGAAAGTGGACAGACGGAGGGACATGGTTTACTGAAGTTGGAAACTGATGATTATCAAGAGTAAAGATGTAATCTTGGCAATCAATTTTAGTTTTCCTGATTGTAAGGACTCGTACGGGTAATTAGAAAGTGGACAGACGGAGGGACATGGTTTACTGAAGTTGGAAACTGATGATTATCAAGAGTAAAGATGTAATCTTAGCAATCAATTTTAGTTTTCCTGATTGTAAGAACTCGTACGGGTAATTAGAAAGTGGACAGACGGAGGGACATGGTTTACTGAAGTTGGAAACTGATGATTATCAAGAGTAAAGATTTTCAGCTCCCCGTTCGAAGTTTGAATATGATGGGCATTTCCATATTAGGCGACAGACAGATGATCTAAGGACACAAATGAATGGAGGGACGGAGGGACAGAAAGGGTGCGAGAGGAAAGAAGGGATAGAAAAAGGGAGGGAGGGAGAGAGAGAGAGATAGGAAGATAGGATGAAATCGAGAGAGAAAAAGAAAGAGAAAGAGAGAAAGAGAAAGAGAGAGAGAGAGAGAGAGGGAAATAAGAAGAGAACGAGAGCGAGATAGATAGGGAGTGGGGCCACAGCCACGTACAAATCCGTCAAGAGAAGCTAACTAAAGCCAAGTTCAACGGTTATTAAATTTCGCCAATAATGAGATTATGTTACAGAGAGAAAGAGAGGGTCAGGAACCAAAAGATAATTATGAATCCGCGTCTATTGACGCGTCTATTAAATTCGAATTTGGTATGCTACACTCTTTCAGTGGTAGTCATAATTACGAAATGTAAAGTGGACGTGGATTACTATCTTCAGATTCGTTGAGTTTTCCACTTTCTTCTCTCCTCGGTGCTGCTTTCTCAAGGAATAGTCATGTTAGTAAAACTGACAATGAAAGGATTACATCCACCAATTTGATCAGATTGGCCTGACGAACCCATGTAACCATGCACTTCTTTCAATTTATTGATTTGCTTTGTATGTTGTATTCAAAAATTTATGGCAGAAATCTAGAAAGAAAACTGTGGTCAAAAAGCAGAAAGACTAAGATTCTTTCAATTATCGTTAAGTTTATTCTCCATTTCCATTTAGCCATGTCCTTCTATCGATCCGTTTGTCGTGTGCAAGATCTGAGATAAGGCTCGTTACGATAGCGCACCATTGGAAGATGATTTGATCATATTTGTATGTTCATGCATCTGCCAATGGATTGCAAAAATGAAAAGAGAGCACCGAGAGATGGGTTTTTAAAGCAATAGGCATAAGCACTTTGCAGCTATCAGTAGAGCTTAACATGTGTTTTGGTCCGTCCGTCTGCAGTATGTGGTGACTGTCACATCAAGTTCTAGTAAAGAGATAAAACTCGATATAGATGGCATCAGAGGTTTCACTTGATGATTATAATCTAGCTCTGAAAGTGAGCGTCATTGACTTGTCCTAGAACGAACAGAAAATGATATCTACGACCGTTAACAGGCGGTTAACAGATAAAGCTTAATACAAGTAATTAATCATTTAGGGGATGTTCTCTTAGTGAAAAATGACGAAAGAGAGAAAGAGATAGGTACTGGCCACAGTGCGGTAGACATGTACTTAGTCGATGAGGGTTATGCCTTCACTACAGCTACACTCAAGTGTGGTCACTAAAGCGCACTGAGATTTCAGTCCGCGAGCAACGACTTGATAGTCGAAACTCTGATCTACGCGGTTATGCGGCAGTTGTCAGGATTATGCAAAAATTCAATATAACGATTGTAGTAATCGCCCAATTGTTGTACTATATCGACCGTTGAAGCACTTATATTAAATCGGTGCATTCGTTTGTTACACTCGTCATATATTCCGTAGAATTTTTGTATTCTTGATTATCGTCAGGTCAACCATCTATTTTTCTTATGGTCGCTTATTGTTGTTCATGCCCTGAACTTTAAAAATAAGTTTCACGTCGGAAACTATATTTTATATTCACCGTAGACGCAATTACTTTATCGTCATATCTAGCTATTGTAGGATCTTTCGTTTACGAATTATAATATCATTCAGAGAGAAGTAAACAAAGATCATATGCAGAAGAAATCCACAATGAAGTTAATCGAATCTGATGAAGAATTCAAATTTATACAATTATAACTTTAAAATCTCTACGGATAGATTACCTTGAAGAGAAGGATCAGGAGAACTGCTTTAAATGCCTTTAGTGTCGAGTGTCTTTTTATATATGAAAATTGAATCAAAAACTTATTTCTTGAATACTTTTTATCATATAAGCGCTGAAAATGTTTAAAAATTTCTGAAAGTACCCAAGGTATTCGAATTTAAGACATTCGGTATTATGTTTTTCTCCAGTTACAATAACATGTATTTGAAGAGCTTCTGTTACGGGTTAGTAAAGCGATAAGCGATAAACTTGCGCTTACAGATATTGCGTCTCTGCTTTAGTCTTGCAGCGGAAATTGATTACATTTTAAAAAAAAATGTTTAGAAAGCTTTCAGGATTTATTGAGGAATATTGAGATGATGTCGAACGGCCATGGTCCTTAAGTACCGATCGGAGAGGAATAAAATCTTGACTCGATTCCCAGCAAGCAGTGTATTGACCGACCAAGACAAGTAGCATAGGAAATCTTAGTGAACAAAGCGAAAGCAAGCAGCGTATTGACCGACCAAGACCAGTAGCATAGGAAACCTTAGTGAGCAAAGCGAAAGCAAGCAGCGTATTGATCGATCAAGACGTGTAACAGTCAAAATATTTGTGAGCAACACAAATCTTACTAAACACTTGCATTTGTCGTATTTATTTCGCTTAAAGTATATATGACTTTTTTTTTCTTTTGAGCAATCATCGTGACAAGCTTTGCGTGCGTGCTTTACCATGAAGTTTCACAAGTACTAAGCTTTACGGTATCCTTTTTCTTTTTTACAGGATTTCCCTAAGTGGCTGCGGGAAAGGGCTTTGTTTATAGGTCGAAGTTTTTGTAGAGAAATTTCATAAACACACTTTCGTGTTTTGGGACAAGAGAGACAATGAACGGCTTTTTCCTTTGTTCGACATAAGAAGACAACGCAGTTTGTTTCCGACTGTCTAATATGATATCGCGAATGTTGCGATTATCGATTATTCGAAATATAGTTCATTTTTGCCTTGCATTTGACTTAAGAGCACGCTTGCGCTCTTACGCATAGACGCAATATTTTCTTGAAACAATGTTTTTGTACAAATTGATTGCACAATAATTCTCTTTTATGTCCTTTCGTTTACAGTTCAGCTTACGGTGGTTCGCTGGTAACAGCAGCAGCGAACAGTTTGCAATATAGTTTGCAATCAAGTGCAATAAATGGCGCTAGTTCGACATCACCTCATCAACATCATTCAACACCTACTTCATGCTCGCAGGCAGCGTCGAATGCTCAAAGCGTTAATAATTCGTTGGTGAAAAGGTCTGATGATTATGGTTCACCGAAAAGTAACAGTAGCAGTGTTGGCAGTGCCAGTGGCGGCGGAGGTGGAGGAGGTGCGTTACCTGCTTTCCAACGAATAGCTTCCTCAACATACGGTGGCGCTGGTGGGGTAACTAATGGCGCCGAACGTTACACCTCATTGAGTAATTATAGAAGTCATGTAAGTTGCAAATGCAAAATACTTTTTTTTTTTTTTGTATAATTGCTTTCCCCCATATACTTTCTTATTTCGTTTTTATTATTATTTTCATTTTTTATTACTTTAATTAGAATGACACTTGGCCAAGTACGTACGAGACAATTAGCTATGCTCCCGCTTCGGTTGTTACCAGTCAAAGTCTAAATGGAGCTTTAAATGCCGTAAATACTAACGTCATCCGTTCTACAGTGAATGCACGCTCAGTTGCTACCTCTGAAAATAATTCTTTAGTAGCGACACCATTTCCAGCCGCTGCCTCTTTGTCAGCAAGTAAGTTTTCTATATACATGTATATATATATATATATATATATATATGCACATCTGTTATATATAACTAAGTTAACACAAACGTTTCTATTCCAAAAAACATTTCCTTTCTCATAAACTCCGAACGCTTTATAAGACACAAAATAATATTATAAGGGAAACCCCTTCTCCTTAGATTCAATTAGTTTGCCGAGCATAATCGCCTAATAACGTTTGTACAAATTACACAAATTAGTAGAACGACAGACTGACGCCAGTGAGAAAATGATTAACAATTTTTTTTGCAATTATACCGCAATAGTTAAAATAGTTTGTATGCATAGTCGCTTTGCGAATCTAGCGTCTGCGTGTCTACCTTCAGCTTATCCAAATCAGAAAAACATTCCAAAATCTTTCTTTTCTTCGATCTTGTCAGACAAAATACAAAGATTAACTATAGCAGACACCAGTCGGCGCAACTGGCACAATAACGAAATATACATCACGGAAAATATGTATGTGTATTGGATTTTGGCAAAGCAGACTCAATCTCAGAGCGTCTAATAACGTACGGAGGGAGAGTGCATCATCCAGTCCCCAGTAGACTGCCTAGCCTTTGCATCCCATATAAAAACCATTTCTGTAAGGATAGCCGCAGTAAGAACCGCGACTAAGAAGTCAGTATTCGTGGGTTCAAATCTCAAGACGTTCGACTTTACTTTGGCCGTAGCTGCAGAGAGAGAGTTCAATTGGTAAAGTTTTAGTAATCATTGGTTGGGCGCACAGATCTATATCATTTCCTTTCTTCATTTCTTCTTCTATCTTGCCATCACCGCGTTATCCTGAGTGAATGATCATCCAAAAAAAACAAAATGTTACATGACGCGCCCTTTCCTACGCCGTAGGAAATCAGCGACATACGTGCATCGTAAAGTATACATTTGCTCAAATAGCACGAAGAGCGAAATTGATTTTAATCCGCCGATATCTTCGGCTTTCTGTTCAAATCACATTTACCGTAGAAAAGCTTTTTTTAAAATAACTATCTTGAACCGGACTTTCTTATCGTGGGGTTATCGTCTATATCCGAAATAACGACTTACTTTCGTGTTATTTGTCCCATAACACACTAGATAGGGCCTCACGGTTCAAATACTTCCCAAATATCCATACCGATCACAACGGAGCCAGCGGTAGATAGAAATATAAGAAGGAGTGTAGTAAGCGAAAAAAAGCTAAATCAGAATAGAGGATAATATAGGAGATAATGCAAGTGAAGAAATCGAGCATAGTAGGGGTCGTAAACTAATAACAGTAGCAGTAGTAGTAACAGTGGTAGTAGCACTAGGACTAACAATAGCACCAGTAGTAAAATAGTAGTAGAAGCAGTAGCAGTAGTAGTAACAGTCGGTAGCAGCAGTAGTACTAATTATAGCACCAGTAGTAAAACAGTAGTAATAGCAGTAGTAGTACCTGTAGTAGGAAGAGTACTAGTAGCAATAAAACCTGTAGTAAAGTAGTAGTAGTAGTAGTAATAGTAGCAACAGTAGTAGTAGCAGTAGTAGTAATAGCATTAGTTGTAAACTAGTAGGGGTAATAGTAATAGCGCTAATAATGAAGCAGTAGTATGAATAGTAGTAGAAGCATTAAAACTACGAAAAAGAGAAAATAATACAAACTTGGGCTTTAACCTTGAACTGATTCGTTTATTATTGTAATTTTCTCTTTAACGTTATCCCCATTATCCTAAATGCCTTTTAATCCAGCGTAAAGGTTAACACTCACTTCTGGTCCCAACTTTTGTTGTAATAAACACTTGATTATGATGATATTAGTGGCAATCATGAATTGTTTCAAGCAAATGCTGAGCCTTTACCCATGATGTCGACCAAGTCTGAGCAAGTTGGTGTTTGCTGTCCGTTGTGATAAACGACATTATCTGGTGTGAATTAAACCAACACGGACAGAAGCCATTAAATGAATCGCGCTTATAGAGTAGTGTAGCCATAGAGAAAGAGAAGCAAAATATATGATTGAAGGAATTGATATCGCCCTCAATACAGTTCGACTGAAGAAGTTAAAAGCCTAAAGCGAAATGATATAAAATAAGGAGCGACCTTTGCGGTTCGATCAAAATATTTGCAGCTCGGCCTATAAGCAAAAAAGCGAAGCCCACATTATTCACTTTATTTTTGTGGGCATCCGAAAAAGTTTCTTAGTTCGGTCAACTTAAAAATTAAAGTAAAAAGTTTTCCTCCTTCAATTCTTATGAACACCATAAACTTTTAATCCATATATACTGAAGTTTTTCCTATACATGATAGCCTATCCTAAGACTTGATTTGCTTATCATCTTCCTTCTTTATTTCTACTTTTTTGTATCACTAAACCGGGGATTTCATTCGAATTTCTAGGGTTTAGAATTTGTTGTGAGCATTTTACCTATGTAGGGTTTCAATCAAAGTCGTACATAATCTACGTTTTGTAAGAGAAGTCTGTTTAAATTTTCTTCCTCTTGTTTGTAGGATATAGGTGTGAAAAAATTTCGTCTAAATTATACGTACAATCGTCCGTTTAAAGGGTCATTTTGTTACGGTAATACTTCCATAGAAACGCTCGCATGCAAAGAGTAAATGAAAATGCAGTAAAGAAAAAGCATTTTTGAAAATTTCATTGTCTCCATTATTGCACGCGCATCTGTGTGGCCACGAGAAATGAAGCATTGAAAAATTTCATGCCACTTAAAACTCACTTCACAGTTTCTCATTTTACAAACTCTTATTAATTTGTGTTCCTTTTTCGGGGATTTTTTCTTTTTACTTATGTTTTTTTGTTTTTTTTTGTTTGATGTTTTTTAATATAATTTTGAAGCCTGCATACAGGCATCAGAATGTTTACGTAACCTGTGTAAATGTTGCTCGTTCACATATGAATTTACCGCATCCTTAATAAATATTTGTACGAATTCGTCCGATCGCTAACAAACACATATACATACATAAAAACATATATATATATATATATATATATATATATGTATATGCTGGTATGTTTACATCAAGAGACGGTTAGCTTAAGAAATTTTCAAAGGTTTTCCCATTTACTGTCAGTTAAGAAAAAATATGGTTAACCGTATTATATGCGAATGTAGAAACCAAAGAATTTGAGAATCAAAGAATTAAGAAAAAACGTTTTATTACTTCCTTTATATATATCACATAAATGCAAAGCTTTTTCGTATTCATTAAGAAAGTACTAGTAAGGTATAGTTATTCTTCAACTCCATTAGTAGTCTATAAAATAAAATCCCAAAAATTGTTGAGGTAATCCCTACATAAAATTCCACAAATTCTTGGGATAATTTCCACATAAAATCCCAAAAATTGTTGAAATAATTCCAACACAAAATCCCAAAAATTGCTGAAATAATCCCCACATAATATCCCAGAAATTTTTGAGATAATCCCCACAATGATTCACCGAAATTTTTGAGATGAGAAGAATGTAAGCAATCTTTTAAAATAGAATCAGTCCAACAGCAACACAGGTTCAGTTTCAGATTACACCAGAACTAGAACATGCTGAAGCGATTCAGGCATTACTCTGTATACAAAAACTGCATTTCAAATGTCGTCTACTTTACCCCAGACAAAGTATTCCATTTATAACGAGGAAGTAGTTTTCAAGAAAATTTTCTAGGATTTTACAAAAACCCATATATAGCAGAAATCTTAATCAAATAAGTTTTACCTAAGACCTAAGGCATACGCCGTTTATGCAGCATTCATTGCGAATCTAGCGAAAGCGGTTTAGGCTTCCCATGCGTGATTATAACGTTTTCATTATACCCTGAACTACTTGCGGTACAGGGGCTTAGCTATAACGTACTTTACTTTAACACTTTTATTATACAGATCGATTCAGATTCATTTTCAGAGTTGATCTAAGCTTGTCTGTCCTTCTCTCTGTCCGATGGCTGTTCACGTAAATTTGTGTTCAAGCTACAGGTCGCAATTTTTGAGATATGTTGATGAAATTTAGTACAGTGACGTGTTTGGACTCAAGGAAGAACGCTATTGAAAATGGTTCAGATCGCTCCACTTTTTGAAACGCTCCGCATATAACGGCCTACTCTGAAAAATTGTTGTACGTAAAAATTTTCAAAATTTCTTGTTGAAAGTGGTAATAATTCTAAATTGGTATAGGAACTTTGAACGGGCTGATGCAATTTTTGAACCCTCTCTCATGCAACAAAAACGACGAAAAAGTGATAGTAATTTAACAAAAAAGAATTAAGTGTACCGAATTTGGACCATCTCGGCATAATTTTTGAATCAGATCCTAATTACGATTTCCCGAAAAAAATGATCCTTCGTAGAGCAGAAAAGTCTAAGTTTGAACATGCGCTGACGAAAATATCCATAAGAGTAATATTATACAAAATTGAACTCTACAAAATTTGAGCCATCTACATCTATTTTTGGATTTTGCCCTAGGTAAGGAACAAATTGTAGTATATTAGGCTGTGTTTTGGGCCAGCTTCCCCACTTATGTTCTATAATAAAAATAAGAATTGTGGTGTACAAAATTCTCACTTCTTTTTGGCTAACCTAGTGTTAACTGCTACTTAGTTCCCCCATGCTCATATAATTTTTACAATTCTTCCTCTTGCGCTGTTCATAAGGAATATGTGAACTCGAAAGGAGGAGCGATTTTGAGTACTTACAAGTGCTAGATATTGAGAAAAAAATAGATTTAAACGGTAAGAGGAACTACTGAGGCCAAGGATGTTTTGTGGAAAAAAAAAATAGATTTTTTATAGACTAAAAACAGATTTAATTGTCTTAAAAATAAATTCAATTAATTTTTATTTGTTAAATCAAATGAATACACTCACACGAACTTTCAAAACCATTGAGGAAAACAAAAAAAAAAAAAAAAAACAAACAAACCTCACATATAAAGTTTTCTTTATTTTACATAAAAAAAAATTAAAAAATTTTTCACGTAAACAATTTGTTTTTTTTTTTTTTAAATTCATATAAATATATATATAATTATTTAAAGCATTATTTGATGCGGATTTTTTCACGGAGGGGCGAGAATGTGTCAATTGTGGTGCAATTTCGACTCCATTATGGCGACGCGATAATACCGGACATTATTTATGCAATGCGTGCGGTCTTTATCATAAAATGAACGGAATGAATCGTCCCATAATAAAACCTCCCAGAAGATTGGTAATTAATTTATATTAAAACACAAAAAAAAAAAAAAAACACATCACAATTAAATAAAAAACAAAGTTTTTGATCACAAAAGTGAACAAAGAGGCAACTTATAGAAATCCGCCGTCCTTTTACTCTATTTTCTTTTTTTTGCTTTTATTTTCTTTCAACGTTCTCGCTTCTTTCGTTAGAAAAAAAAAAAAAAAAAAAACAAAATTAATTAAATAAATGAATGAATAAATAAATAAATGAATAAGAAGAAGAAGAAGATGAAATTAATTGAATTTATTATCGTAATAAAAAAGAAATGCACGCCGCCCTCTACTAATAACTTTTGCTTAGAATTTTTGGTTCAAAAGTTTATTAAAATAAAAATTAAATTAAAACAATTTTTTTTTTTTTTTTTTTTTTTGGTTTTTCCCTCTATTATTGATAATAATCCATTAAAATAATATGTAAATGTATTACAGTGGCCGCTGAATCAGGCGGGGATTTCTATAAGACCTATCCGTTTACTACATCCGTTACAAATCGGACCAACACAACAAACAACTCAAATAACACTAACGAGGAACATGTTAGTCGTGCAACATCGCGACGATTGGTAGGTGTTGTTGTGATTTGTGAAAAAAAAAAAAATAAAAATAAATAAATAAAAATATGATTCAAAAATTTTGTTGAAAATTTTTAATGAAAATTTTTAAATTAAAAGACAATTATTTTTTTAATTATAAAAAAAAATTACATTTTTTACTTTTATAAGCAGAGTGCTTCGAGACGTGCGGGCCTGGCCTGTTCAAATTGCTTAACGACGCAAACTTCATTGTGGCGTCGCAACGTTAACGGTGAACCCGTTTGCAATGCTTGCGGTCTTTACTATAAATTGCATAGCGTTAAGCGACCATTAACTATGAAGAAGGACACGATACAGGTAAACCTCTCTAATGTGTAAGCGAAATGCATGTTTATAAGCATTTTATTCTTCTTCTTATTTAAGACTCGTAAACGTAAACCCAAAGGCAGTAAATCGGAGAAAATATCTAAAAAACAAGCAGCAGCAAATGCGGCCGCTGCTGCCTCTGCCGTTATTTCGGATACTGCTTTGAATGGTGGTAATTCCAATACTAATACACTGAACGGTCTAAACGGAGATCAAGGTAAGTAAAAGAAAAAAAGACTCGGCTTACGCTGAGTATTTGTGTACCCACCCATTAGCTTATAAGCAACTTTTGATTGCAAAAAGGAACTCAGATCCATTGATTTGATATAATATTGAAATTTGGCGCATTGAAATTTTGGAAATATGGCAGCATCTCAGGATTGATTTGAGCTGACCGGAGAATCGTTTTCACTGTTTTCATTAATACCACAACTGTTTGAGTCCCAGTAATCGTAGCTGTAGTCAGTGCTCAGACGGTGAAGGCATAACACTTATTGATTAGGCACACATCCTAGGCCGCCACTAGGCCGCGGTGCCTTTCTTTCTCTTCCTCCCATTTCTCCCTCTGAATGATTGGTCATATTAAAGAAAGGAAACGACTTCTTTTCGGTTTGATTGCTGTTATAGTGAACGCTTACTTGGTAGAGGCACAGCATTTACCGATTGGACATACATCCACTAGGTCGTTGTACCGTTCTGTCGTTTCTCCCCGGTTCTTTCTGACTCAAACCCTGTTACACGCATAAGGACCTCTATCAAGTGATAGGTCATATTAACATAAAAAACAGACATTCCTTGCGGTTTGATCGCATTAGGTATAGTGGGTGCTTACTCGGCAAAGGCACACTTACCACTTGAACATACATACATACACTAGGTCGCGGTCTATCTCTGTCTTTTCTTCCCATCTCCTTGTTACACATATAAAGGACAGCCCCCTGAGTGATTGGTCATATGAAAAACTTGGTTTGATAATTTGATTCATTTCTACTTTTGAATTTCGAAAAAATATTTATAGATCATCCAATGTTACAACATTTTTTTAAGGATCTTAATTTATAATATGAAACGACTTTCACATAACACATCACTCAATAAATTCCCGGTCGAATATAAATTTGGCAAAATTATTGACAGCTTCATATATGATTTCTGAATAGTAAAAACCTTGAAACGATGTATGTCAAATTTTCATGACGTTCTGACGATTAGTCTAGAAGTTACATCGGTATAGGTGACGCTGCTTTGATTGTTAATGGTTCTCTAGTAACTCAGATAACTTTTGTAGCTTCGTATTTTGACTAAACTTTAGATGACTGGCAGATAATCTTGCATATAGTCTTGCATATGAACGACAGATTTTTTTAAAGTCTATCCTATCAACATTTGTTAGCTGTATTTAGGACAATGATAGTTGCAAGGGGAAACGAAGAATCAGCGCCCGACTCCGCCTTAGGAATAGGGCCTGAAGATTTCAATAGGCGAAGGGGGATTTGGCCTCGATTCCGAGGGAGGAAGGAAGAAGGCCTGAGGTTTCGAAAGCTTAGATATTGAATAAAATCTTTAGTACACTTTTGAGAAAAAGACTCATTTCTTAACTGTGAATAGATGATCTATTGATCAAATTTTACCGATTTTCGAGATTGTCTTTTGAAGAGTGCAAAAAAAATATACATTTGAGACAAAACTTGTCTTTTCAACAGAAATTTTCAAGTAGTAAGAGTGACTGCAATAGACTCACCAACGGACAGACCTTGTCAAATCTGTATGTAATTTTGACGGATACAAACAGGGGGCAAAGTTAGCGCAGCGTTTGTGGTGGTGGGTGCAAAAAAAATTTTACTTTCGCATGTTTTATTAATTTAATTAATTTCCTTTGTTTTTTTTTATTCGTTTTTTTGATTTTTGCATTTTATTATCTGCATTCCGCGCTAATGTGTTTATGTATGATTTAGATATAACACAACATCACCAGCAGCAGACGCAATTAAATACATCGATATCATCATTAACACATTCAGCGGCTACATCACCCAATACAAACGGTTTGCCATCACCACCATTGTCAGCGACAAACATAAATCATAACAACAGCAATGACTTAACGGCCGCAATTATGTCGCCAACATCACCGTTACTGCAGGCAGCAACTAACTCAATAGACGTTGCAATAACAACGCAACGGGAGTTACATAAGCAACAGCAACCTCAGCAACAATCACAAAGACAACAGCAACAACAAATACAAAACTATCAACAAATGTCACCGACAACAGCATCACTGCATCAAAATCTCAGTTCACCAAATACCATTATGTTTAATAATAACAACAACAATAATAATAATAACAATAATAATAATAATTGTAATAATCAATCTTCACCCAACACCAGCGCACATTTCAGTAATAATCATAGTGCAAGTAATCCAAATGATGCAGCATTTAACCATGACTCTGAGGAGAATGATAATGAAAATATGAAATTTATGCAAAAATATTTACAAACTCCTCATCATCAACAACAGCAACAGCAGCAGCATCAATCTTCAACGGATATTGTGATGAGCAGTGCACAACGTCCTCATACAACAATGATAAATGCAAGTCATTCACCCACTACCATAACGAAATCGCCGACAGTAACGACAACCTTACAAATGCAATATTTGCAACAACAGCAACAGCAACAACATAACAATCATCATCAGCAACAGCAACAGCAATCACCATCCCAAACTGGTCACCATCAAGTGAACAATAATAGCAACAACAATAATAATAATAATAATAATAGCAGCAACATACATTTGTTGGTCTCCAATCAAAGTCCTTTGCAGAAAAATTCACCGTCCGTTTCGCCACCGAATTATCCGCCATACGCTGAATTGATGTCCCCAGATGCTGAAGCAGCGGGAATTAAAATTGAACAATTGCATCACAATCATCATCTTCATCAGCATCAGCATCAGCACCAGCATCAGCAACAACAACAACAACAGCAACAGCATTTATTGCAGCATCATGTGCAAATAAGTCGCAGTCCCTCCATAGATGATGAATATGAATATCAACGTCAGCAATTTGTAATACATCAGCAACAATTACAACAGCAACAGCAGCAACAGCAACATTTTCTGCAATTACAAGGATTTGTGCCGCAGCATTTATACGATTTCGGACGAAAATTTGAAAGGGAAACTGTGGTGAAAATGGAATAAAAGCAAAATGAAAGAGTTTTTCAGAGAGAGAGAAAGAGAGAGAGAGAGAGAGATAAGGGCGATATAATCAACCTCTAAGTAACGCACCAAAGACACTGTAGTTATCCAAAGAGTTATGATTTTGCATGACGCAAGAAAGTCTTTTAACCCTTTAAATGCTAAGATATTTCATAATTCAAAAAAAAAAAAGAAAAAAACAAACTTAAAATCTTGCCAGATTTCACTCTTTATCAAAGTACTGGACAAAAGGCAAATTTTCCCTTGTCTAGAACAATTTTTCAATACTCTTAAGTAAGCGATATATCGCTTATAGATTATAATCTCGACGTTTCCCCCATAAAGTATACGAATTATATAAATAATAATATGATAAAATTAGATAAAATTAAGAGAAAATCTTTAAAAACAAAAAACTAAAGAGGTTAAATTTGCAAAAAAAAAAAAAAAATTCAGACACACACACACACATACTAAAGAACGCGGAAAGCAATACGTATATCGGTTAATATAACGTTTCTAATGCAAAATCAAAAGAAGTGTTTTTGATAACAAATTAAATTAATTTCGAATGAAAATTTTTTTTTTTATTAATTAGAATTTTAATTAGTTAATTCTTTACATATAAACATATCCCAAAGAGATTTCTTATTTTTTATTTTCGCTTGTTTTTTTAAATTTTATACTTTTTTCACATTTAAGTCAATTTTCGCGGGAAATATTTTAATTATTAAGTTTCTCTTTATTATTAATATTATTATTATTACTTTTTTTTTTTTTTTTTTTTAAATCGTTATCGTAAAATAATTAATAAAATCAAACTATTACAAATAATATAAATTATTTTTATTATTACCTCAAATCAATTATAATGCGAGCTCAAATCGAGCATAATGCTCTCATCTAGGGGCATCTGTCATTTATCGTTTGCCTTAAGCTAATAGGAGAGAGCATACGCTCTCTGATGTTGCGAAAATTTGTTCACGTTCTTTCTAATCTCCTGCAATAATTTCTAAAGTAATAAGAGAAAGTAGTCCTTTTAATCAATGTCTTGCCACAAATGTATTACGTAAAGCTCTCTCTGATCTTCTTCAACAATTCCTAAGCTAATAATAGAGAGCGTACATATTAATGCCTCAAACATTAGTTGAAGCTCTCCGTAGACTCCTGCAATAATTCCTAAGCTAATAATAGAGAGTAAACATAATAATCAATATTATCCCCGATCGAACTGCGATGTGCCTTTAAGTCACTTTTGAACTTTAAACCTAAATTTGACATATACTGCACTCATCTAGCGGTGTCTGTCATTTACCATTTCCCTTAAGGTAGTAATAAAGAGCAAACACAATAGTCAATATTGTCCCTCATCAGATCACGATGTGTCTTTAAGTCACATTTGAACTTTAAATCTAAATTTGACATATAATGCACTCATCTAGCGGTGTCTGTCATTTACCATTTGGCTTAAGCTAATAATAGAGCGGTAACACACTAATGCTTCAAATATTAATTTAAGCTCTCCCTAATCTCTTGCAAGAATTCCTAAGCTAATAATATAGAGCATACATTAATAATCAATATTGTCCCCAATCGGATCACAATCTGAGTCTGTAAGTCACATTTGCACTTTGAAACTTAAATATGTTAACTTCTTCATATTTTGTTTCCAGTATATGCGAGGTGTGTTTAAAAAAAGTCGACTTTTTATTTTTTTATCTATGTATTTATTTATTCATCCATCTATTTGGTCCTCTTCAGAGTAATTCCCCTCTGGATGAGAAATGATTACAATATTGTTTTTGGACAAAAAATTACGAACAAGCCATGATGTGTAAGCTGCTGCATTATCGTGGTGCAATACCCATGAGCAAAGCACGCCAAAAACACCCATGAGCCAACCGATATGCCGACGGTGACTTTGGTAATGAGTGATTCGACGAGTGACTCTCTATAACAATTTTCTTCACTGCTTCGATGTTCTCATCGGTTGCCTGGACGTCCAGGGCTTGCAACGTCGTTAACACCTTCTCGGCCCTTTCTGAAGAACTCGTGGCCTGTATATAATAATTAACTTGTTGGATATGTAATGTATTTAATAATGTTTCCGAAAAATACAGTGGATTAATTTGTTTGAGAAACCTAAAAATATCTATTTTCAAATCACTTATTGTATCCATCGTTGAAGGATGAAAGGCATATTCATTTTGTCAAAACATTTGCAACGCTTAGAAGGAAACATCAGAGAACCCACAAAGTATATACACTCCTGATCGGCATCAAATTCTAAATCGATTTAAGCATGTCCGTCTGTCCGTCTGTTATAAACGTTCTTCTGGCCGCAAACATTAAGCTATCGATTTCAAGTTTGGCAGAAACATTGAAAGTTCTTGCACGCGGGCCAATTCGATCGAGGTGCGCCGACTGCAGTACCATGTAAACTAAGAACACCTCTGTTTTCCAAAAGAAATAAAAAATTGAATTTTTGCTTATTATTCATGCACTCCAGCAGCTAAACGCACAAAACTTGAACGATGCTGTAGTATTTGTACAAAAGTGGTAAATAATTGACCATGCCTACCCCATGTTATCGTGTGTCCTAATTTCATTTTTTTTCCAATACCTTTATACCAAGCAGAAGCAAACTTCAAAAACCCTAAAAACGTATACAAGTTCTTGACCAATTTCAAATTTTCAATGCATCTAAGTATGTCCATCTGCCCGTCTGCGCAATTTTATGGTATCTGTGTGGTAAACATTCTCCCCCCATTGCAAACATGAAAATGTCGCTTACAAATTTGCAAAAGAATTTGAAAATGACCTAAGCTACTACCCACCTACTAGTGTGACCCTATGCAGTAAGAGCAGTGAACCCCTACTTACTTTACAACAAATTTACGACATACCACACAAAATATTCTATAAAAATAGAATAACAGTGATGATTATTAAAAGTTCGGTCACAAGTAAATATTTATTTTAACATGGATATATTTAAAAAGGCTTAGAAGTGCACTAAAACAATTATAACAAAGAACAGAATAAAGCAAACTCTAAGAACCGTGTTTCAAGAAGCTCAGAAGTTATCTCATCAATTTTGACCATTTCAAATAAATAAATAAAAATATTTGGTTTACATTTGAATAAATAGATTATAATTAAAAAAAAAAAAGATTTTGAAAATTTAACTCGATTATGTTTAGAGATTAAATATTTACCCCACAAAATATGAAAAAAAGAAATTGTTAAAAAAAAAAAAAAACATTTAAAAATAATATAGGTTAGGTATTATGTTATGCAAGACAGCAACTTAAAAGGAAAAAAAATGTTCAAACAAAAGCAATCTCTACCAAGATGTTCCCGTTATGTCGTAAAAGCTTTTAGTTAATTTCTTGTCGAACAAAGGAATTAGAAATCAAAAAAAAAAAAAAAAAAGAAAGCAAAATTACAATGTTACACAGCAACCTATCTATCTATTTAACCGGAACGAACCGGAACGGTAAAGATTGCTTTTGTTTCCTCTGAAAGTTCCAGAACGAAAATACATTTTGGAAAGTTTTCCTTCTGATCTGTAAGAGAGCTTGCATCATCCCTAACTCTCTCGTGCCTTCAGTTCTCATCTTTAATAAGCGAATCTATTAAACTCCCATAAAGTTCGGAGCGTAGAGAGATTTCTAAAAATTTTGTCGACTTGTACTTATTGTAAACAGCACGTAATGGATTAGTTTGTGCATTACGAGCCACCTCAGCAATTTTCCTGGCAATTGGCTTAATATCTTCAATTTCGTAACGAGAATACTGTTGAAGAGTAACTGTCCAGTAACTACTATCGAAGCCCATAGACGGTACACACTTCACCTTTAGCAGATTCAAGGCTAAGAATAAAGATGCGGCAGCGATTTCGGATGGTTTATAATGCGCCATATCCGGTTGTATCATAGTCAATTCGATTAAATATTTGGACATGGCGTAATGGATGGCCTCGGCTTCCGATACTTTTGTAAAACGTTTTAGAAAATGTATGGGTAAAGGTCGCGATAGGTTATAATCTAAAATTTTAAGAATTTTCAATTCCATTTGACGCATCTGACTGTCAGTGTAAGAGTCGTCAGTTAATCGAAGTAAATCGACAAATGACGGAGGACGCGATTTTTCGTATTTGGCAGCTAAAAAAAATGCAGTTAAACCAACTAATTGGAATTGCGAAAATTTCGTATCTTTAACAATTTGTACATAACGATCTATTATGGCGACAGTTAGCTGAAAGACTTCATCATTCATATGAAAATGTAAATGAATTTCATTAATCCAATCGACTAGAGTAGCCCGCATGTTGGCATTAATTTCCTTTTGTCCTTTTAAATGATCTTTATCGATTGGTTGTTCACTCTCCAATTTGAAAAGATAATCATAGATATCCGTAGCATAGACGGACATAAAAAGAAAATCATCTTCATCAATTTCGGCAACGGATTTCATGCATTGACTTTCGTTTTTAAAGCAAGTCATTAATGTCTGCTTTGATAAAGCATTTAAGTCAGCTTGGGTTGCTGTAGTTGCTTTTACTTCATGTTGCAATAGATCTTTATTCTGTGGCTTAGGCATTGAATCGGCGGCAAACCGTTTCGATTCCATTACAGTTTTAGTTTCATCGCATAATGCCTTTGCTTGGCTGATTTTTAGCGTAACATTGTCCGTCGGATTACGATGCAAATCGTTGGCTTGTGTTAGGTTTACATCCGCAACGGATGTTGCTACTGTTTCGCATTTAGTTATTGCTGGGCTAGCAGTGATGATGGCTGCAGCTGCCCTTTTCTTCCAGGTAACTTCTCCCGCAGATACCTTAGGAATTTTCCAAGCGTCTTGGATCTTTGCCGTGCCTAGTTTGCTTTGCGATAACTTTTCTTTGGCTAGTGAATGGCTTATGTCATAATTTTCTAAACAATTCAAAGGAATTCGTGCATCAGCAACTTCCCCAGTTATAGGGATCTTCTCTATTTGTTTTATAACATCAGATAATTCATTTTCTGGCTCTACAGGCTCTTTCTTCTTGTCATTGAGTGAAGTCATTTTTTTCAAATTCTTCCTACTTCAGAAAAATCACAGAAAATTCCTTCTTTTCCTTTCCTAATTTGATTTTTTAGCACACAGCAGGCCACAGCAATCAATTAGTTAATTGATTGGCTTTTCCTACAAATTTGAATGTGCTTGACGTTATTTTTCACAAATTAAAGGCCGTTGAAATTCCTTTTTTTTTTTTTTTTCTTTTTTTTTTAATCACATGAGAAAACTGTCAAGTTCAAAAGTTACATTCAATCATGGCCGATTTTTATTCACCACTTTTATGTTATAAAAAAAAAAAGCAAAGAGAGAAAACACCCCTAAAGACAACGAAATATTGATATCCTATAATATTGAATTGCTGTGGCTGCCATTTTCCTCCAAATACTGTAACATATACTAGTAGAAGTTTGGTGTAAGTTTCAATCGTTGTATGTAATGTGGTTTATGCGACAATATTTTTTTACTTTTGAAAACAGAGATGTTCTCAGTTTAGGTTAGGCAGTGAGCGACCATGGGGGGGGCTGCTATAGACTGCGCGCAAGAATTTGTGATATTTTTGCAAAGAACCTTTGATACCTTTATGTTGGAGAGCAATAGAACGTTCACTTCAGGCATTACGCAGGTTAAGAGATTGACAGAGGGAGCGACGGACAGATGGGCGGACGGATACATAGACAGACGGGAAGAGATAGAGACTGGCAGATGGACGGATAGATAGACAGACAGACGGGAAGAGGGAGATATTGATAGATGGACAGGCGGATAGAAGGAAAGAGGGTGATACTGACAGGGGGAAGAGAGGGAGACTGACAAAGGGACAGCTGGGCACTTAGATAAACGGAAAGAGGAAAAGACTGACAGATGGACACTTGGATAGGTAGAAAGACTGGAAGAGGGAGATGCTGACAGGGAGGGAAAAGGGAGAAATTGATAGACAAACAAGCGGATAGATAAACAGGCGGGAAGATGGAGAGAAGGACAGTTGAATAGGCGGACAGATGGACAGCCTCGCATACGTACACACGCACATGCTTAAATCGATGCAAAAATTGATGTCGATCAAGAATACATTATATGCAATTAATAACGTTTCTAAAGCTTCTGATATGCGCCCATCCTAAAAAAATTTCTTTGATTAAGTTATATTTATTCAATATATATTCATATTATTATTATTATTAATTTCGCCAGAGAAATAAATTCTAAGACTAAACTCTTAAAGCACTAGCCTCTAAGGCTATCGGTTTTTACTAAAAATTTTACCGCACTTGAGAATCGGACCTACGACCATTAAATTGCTAATCCAGATTCCTCGCCTTCCTCGTTCAGGCGGATATATATTTATAAAAAACAAACAAATTTCATGCTTATTACTTTTAACATAATTAATTCGTGGGGTATTTATGGTCTGGAATATTTATGGTCTGAGAATTTATGGTCTGGGATATTTATGGTCTGGGAATTTTTCATTGTGCTTGATCTGTAAAACTGCGAATACGTTAGAAATATTAAATAATTCTAATTATCTTTTGGTGCTGCGTATAATTATTTTGTTTGCTCATTACTCATAAAGTAGATACAACGATAAAAATATCCATATATGGTTTATAGTGCTTGTAGTAAAGAACTGGCCACGCACAGGCAATTTTATAAAGTAATAAAATTTTTTTATTTTTCTCTAAGTAAAGATTCGCTCGCGGCCATATATAATTTTGTTACGTGCTCCTGTTTACATTTTTACTAATAACGCCTAAAGGTATGCTACAAATTTTTTTAATTGCAAGATTAAAAAAAGAATCAACGAAAATTTCGTGTCTATTATCAAAGACAAAAAAAAGTTTGTTGCTTAAACTACAGCATGCTTCAAAATACTGATATACAGTTAATGTTATTAAAGCATATTGTCGCCAATTGTCTACATTCCAATTTCGCATAATTTTTAAAACTAATTTAATAATATAAAAATAATTAACAATAAAATAAAATATAATTGGCAACAATATGCACTTAACGGTTAAGAAAAACCCACTATACAAAGATTTGTACATAAAGAGATAGGAGGTTTTAAACATACGATGTAGACCTACATCGCTAGGCAGCATGAAGGGTTAAACAGCAAAAATTTAAAGCACTATACAGGAGCATGAATTAATATAAGTAAGAATTTAATAACAAAACAAAAACGGTATTAGTTGCGAAGTAATTAATTAATATTTTAAATGTTTAAAATTTAAATGATTATTTCTTGGTGGCAGTTGCAAGAATTGAATTGATCCAATGCATTAGTATTGAATAAGTGAGCCTTTGACAATTGTCTTCCAAGCTTTCCTAAATGTGTTTTTATATGTCTTGAGTCAATCGATTGCTCAATGTAAAGGATATGTTACTTACTGCATTTATTAGTGGCGTCCAAATTGTGTTCGAAGTGGAAACTTCAATTCATTTTTCTAGCAACGTCATGCATAACAAATGAGAACGAATATACACTTATTTTATAAAGCGGC